CCCTGGGGCACATTAGCTAATCAATTAAATTTAAAAGGGATCTGATAATCTGGCAGCAGCTGCTCGAGGGGGCAGGGGCGGCTGAGAGGAGATACCACGCATCCAAGGAGCGGATGGGAGGAGCTACCCCACGTCTAAGTCAGGGCGGCCAAGAGGAGCTACCCCACGTCCAAGGAGCGGATGGAAGGAGCTACCCCACGTCCAAGGTCAGGGGCAGCAGCCCAGAGGAGCTACCCCACATCCAAGGTAAGGAGCAGCAACTGCGTTTTGCTGGAGCAGCTGTGAAGAGATACTCCACATCCAAGGTAAGAGAAACCCAAGTAAGAGGGTAGGCCCTGAGAGAGGGCATCAGAGGACAGACAGATTGAAACCACAATCACAGACAACTAGCCAATCTGATCACAGGGACCACAGCCTTGTCTTAATGAAACTAAGCCATGCCGTGTGGGGCCACTCAAGATGGATGGGTCATGGTGGAGAGGTCTGACAGAATGTGGTCCACTGGAGAAGGGAATGGCAAACCACTTCAGTATTCTTGCCTTGAGAACCCCATGAACAGTATGAAAAGGCAAAAAGTCAGGACACTGAAAGATGAACTCCCCAGGTTGGTAGATACCAAATATCTTACTGGAGATCAGTGGAGAAGTAACTCCAGAAAAGAATGAAGGGATGGAGTCAAAGCAAAAACAACACCCAGTTGTGGATGTGACTGGTGACAGAAGTAAGGTCCGATGCTGTAAAGAGCTATATTGCATAGGAACCTGGAATGTTAGGTCCATGAATCAAGGCAAACTGAAAGTGGTCAAACAGGAGATGGCAAGAGTGAATGTCAACATTCTAGGAATCAGCGAACTAAGATGGACTAGAATGGGTGAATTAAACTCAGATGACCATTATATCTACTACTGTGGGCAGAAATCCCTTGAAGAAATGGTGTAGCCATCAGTCAACAAGAGAGTCCGAAATGCAGTACTTAGATGCAATCTCAAAAATGACAGAATGATCTCTGTTCGTTTCCAAGGCAAACCATGCAATATGATGGTAATCCAAGTCTATGCCCCAACCAATAACACTGAAGAAGCTGAACAGTTCTATGAAGACCTACAAGACCTTCTAGAACTAACACCAAAAGAAGATGTCCTTTATATTATAGGGGACTGGAATGCAAAAGTAGGAAGTCAAGAAATACCTAGAGTAATAGGCAAATTTGGCCTTGGAGTGCAGAATGAAGCAGGGCAAAGGCTAATAAGAGTTTTGCAAAGAGAACACACTGGTCATAGCAAACACCCTCTTCCAACAACACAAGAGAAGACTCTACACATGGACATCACCAGATGGTCAACACTGAATTCAGATTGTTTATATTCTTTGCATCCAAAGATGGAGAAGCTCTATACAGTCAGCAAAAACAAGACCAGGAGCTAATTGTGGCTCAGATCATTAACTCCTTATTGCCAAATTCAGACTTAAACTGAAGAAAGTAGGGAAAACCACTTAACCTTTCAGGTATGACCTAAATCAAATCCCTTATGACTATACAGTGGAAGTGAGAAATAGATTTAAGGGACCAGATCGGATAGACAGAGTGCCTGAAGAACTATGGACGGAGGTTCATGACATCGTACAGGAGACAGGGATCAAGACCATCCCCGAGAAAAAGAAATGCAAAAAAGCAAAACAGCTGTCTGAGGGGGCCTCACAAATAGCTGTGAAAAGAAGAGAAGCGAAAAGCAAAGGAGAAAAGGAAAGATATTCCCATTTGAATACAGAGTTTCAAAGACTAGCAAGGAGATATAAGAAATCTTTCCTCAGCGATCAATGCAAAGAAATAGAGAAAAACAATAGAAAAGGAGGGACTAGAGATCTCTTCAAGAAAATTAGATATACAAAGGGAACATTTCATGCAAAGAGGGGCTCAATGAAGCACAGAAATGGTATGGACCTAACAGAAGCAGAAGATATTAAGAAGAGGTGGCAAGAATACACAGAAGAACTATATAAAAAGAGATCTTCACAACCCAGATAATCACGATGGTGTGCTCATTCACCTAGAGCCAGACATCCTGGAATGTGAAGTCAAGTGGGCCTTATGAAGCATCACTACGAACAAAGCTAGTGGAGGTGATAGAATTCCAGTTGAGCTATGTCAAATCCTAAAAGATGATGCTGTTAAAGTGCTGTACTCAATATGTCAGCAAATTTGGAAAACTCACCAGTGGCCACAGGACTGGAAAAGGTCAGTTTTCATTCCAATGCCAAAGAATGCTCAAACTACCACACAATTGCACTCTTTTCACATGCTAGTAAAGTAATACTCAAAAATCTCCAAGCCAGGCTTCAGCAATACATGAACCGTGAACTTCCAGATGTTGAAGCTGGTTTTAGAAAAGGCAGAGGAACCAGAGATCAAATTGCCAACATTTTCTGGATCATCGAAAAATCAAGAGAATTCCAGAAAAACAGCTATTTTTATTTAATTGATTATGCCAAAGCCATTGACTGTGTGGATCATAATAAACTGTGGAAAATTCTGAAAGAGATGGGAATACCAGACCACCTGACCTGCCTCTTGAGGAACCTGTATGCAGGTCAGGAAGCAACAGTTAGAACTGGACATGGAACAACAGAGTGGTTCCAAATAGGAAAAGGAGTACGTCAAGGCTGTATACTGTCACCCTGTTTATTTAACTTATATGCAGAATACATCATGAGAAATGCTGAGCTGGAGGAAGCACAAGCTGGAATCAAGATTGCTGGGAGAAATATCAATAACCTCAGATATGCAGATGACACCATCCTTATGGTAGAAAGTGAAGAACTAAAGAGTCTCTTGATGAAAGTGAAAAAGGAGAATGAAAATGTTGGCTTAAAGCTCAACATTCAGAAAACTAAGATCATGGCATCTGGTCCCATCACTTCATGGGAAATAGATGGGGAAACAGTGGCTGACTTTATTTTTCTGGGCTCCAAAATCACTGCAGTTGGTGACTGCAGCCATGAAATTAAAAGACGCTTACTCCTTGGAAGGAAAGTTATAACCAACCTAGACAGCATATTAATAAGCAGAGACATTACTTTGCGAACAAAGGTCTGCCTAGTCAAGGCTATGGTTTTGCCAGTGGTCATGTATGGATGTGAGAGTGGGCCTATAAAGAAAGCTGAGCACCGAAGAATTGATGCTTTTGAACTGTGGTGTTGAAAAGACTCTTGAGAGTCCCTTGGACTGTAAGGAGATCCAACCAGTCCATCCTAAAGGAAATCAGTTCTGGGTATTCACTGGGAGGACTGATATTGAAGCTGAATCTCCAATATTTTGTCTACCTGATGCAAAGAGCTGACTCATTTGAAAAGACCCTGATGTTGGGAAAGACTGAAAGCAGGAGGAGAAGGGGATGACAGAGGATGAGATGGTTAGATGGCATCACCACCTCAATGGACATGAGGCTAGGTAAACTCCAGGAGTTGGTGATGGACAGGGAGGCCTGGTGTGCTGTGTTTCATCATGGGGTCGCAAAGAGTAGGACAAGACTGAGAGACTGAATTGACTGACTGACCGACTGATAATCTGGTATAGGGTCAAAATGCCCCAGATGTATGGAAGGTGGTTTTAGAATTTCATAGGATATCAAAAACACTAAAGTATTCCTCATTTCAATTCGAATTCTTACCAAATAAAGAATGGTTACAGAATAACTTCTACATTGAGAAACCCGCTGAACATCTACAAGTATAGACAACCGGTTGCGTCAGAAAAGCACTATTCTGAAACTCTCAACTTTATAACCTAAAGACATTGGGGGGGAAAAATCAGAAAACATGGGTAAAAATTAAATTATAACAGTCTGTTAAAATGAATAGACTGGTTTGTCTATATTTATATTAAAAATATGTCTTAGAAAAGCAATCATTCAAGACACATGTGCCTGTAACACATACATTTGTTCAAACAAAATGCACATTTTACACCTGTGTCCCAGGCAGCCCCTAGGCACTAGGGACATAGTGAAGAACACAGCAGGCAGAATCTCATGAAACTTGAAATGGAGACCACTTATCTCTCATTAACCAATAACCTTCTACAGTAAAAGATTAATGAATAAAAAGGCAATGCAATGAAAAAGAATAAAACAGAGGATTAAAAACACAGGCAGTTTAACCTTACTATTTCATCCAAGATGTAATTTTAAATGTGCTAGAAGAATGAGAAACTTTAAAAAGCATATAGCAAAGTAATCCGTAAAGGTAATAGCCACCCTCTCAAGGTCTCTATTTTCTAAACCTAATTTGGGAACAAAGCTTACCTGGATCCAAAGGGATTCTCTGGTAAGGCAAAGTGGTCATCAGGAAGAGTTAACCAACAATCATTTTTATAAAACAATTTAAGACAACTCTTAAGGCCAATTAAAAAATACCTTTATTAAAACTGAGTGTTAAGCAGTTACTAGGCACTTAGAGTCTGCACCCCAATCTTTTCTTCAGCATCTCCCTTCCCTCTAACCACATCATATATCAAACCTCCAAGTTCTTGCTAAGGGATTAAATGGTCTCTGCAAAGAAATGGCTATAGGTCAGCTACCAAAAATAGAAATTCTTCATTCTTTCATTCATCACTGTCACTGTTATATCAGTGACAATCTCTTATTACTATGTTCTTAACTCAAAGGCTGTTACACCCATACTAAGTAAGTTACAAACTTCAACAAAGCATTGCAATGTTTTCCTCTAGGACTTCTAAAAGGTTTCCCTAACTATGCAGACTAGAGTTCACACACAAGCACTCCCAAGATTTTGGTTCAATGGAAGTAGTCTTGCTACCCAAGAATATTTAATAAGCAGATATTTTGTTGCAGGTGGTTCACAGTCTACAGTGGAAACAACACAATTACATAGTCTTAAATTACTGTCAAGAGCTACTCTCAAACACATACCTAGATATACAGCTTATATGCTTAAGGATGTCTCTGCTCTCATAAACAAGGACCTGGTTCAGCAATACTTACAGTTAACATTGAAGTTGTCAATAGGCCCCATGCAAAGAATTCAAGGAAGATGACAATAGCAGCATGGTATACACTTGGTCGGCCAAAGCCTTGTAGCTAAAAAAAGAGGAAAATTATTATGAAAAACAGTAAACAGGTAAAAGAAACCCATTATCCTAAAATGGTACTTAACATACACAAAATGTATAAACATACTGCTTAATATGGGTAGGTCCTACCTATTTTCCAGTAGTCATGTATGGATACATGAGTTGGACCATAAAGAAAGCTGAGCACCAAAGAACTGATACTTTTCAACTGTGGTGATGGAAAAGACTCTTGACAGTCCCTTGGACTGCAAGGAGACCAAATCAGTCAATCTTAAAGGAAATCAGTCCTGAATGTTATTGGAAGGACTGATGCTGAAGCTGAAGCTCCATTACTTTGGTCACCTGATGTGAAGAGCTGACTCATCAGAAAAGACCCTGATGCTGGGAAAGATTGAAGGCAGGAGGAGAAGGGGACAATAGAGGAAAGGATGGTTGGATGGCATCACTGACTCAATGGACATGAGTTTGAGTGAGCTCTGGGAGTTGGTGATGGACAGGGAAGACTGCCATGCTGCAGTCCATGGGGTCGCCAAGAGTCGGACATGACTGAGCGACTGAAGTGAACTGATATTATTTAAGATAAAACTTCATTCTGTGGTATCCCTGATTTCTTCATCTTCCCTTACGGAAGATGTCAAGATTACAGACTTTCTACTTGGCCTGTCAATGTAAATCCCTGGAACTCTGGTAGAAAATCAACTGGTTCTTCAAGAGACTCAGGTTCCAGGACCTGAATATTCTGTCTGAACACACTAATTACGGGTTCCTTAGCCATTTGGCCTAAGTCTGAAGTTGCTCTTGTTACATGAGAGGCAGACAGGGAGTCAACACTAAAAAGCTTCACGGGCAGCATAGATGATTTAAAATGATAGGAGCTTGGGGAGGAACAATAAGGATTAGGTCAAATCTGAAAATACACTTTAATATATAAAGGTGTCAAAATCTAGCTTTCTCTTTTGTTTTAAAACAGCCTATTCTGCTAATTTTCTTCAGTTTATGACTTCTGGAGATAAAATCTAAAAGTCTACTGGATTAATGTTCTTTGACTCTGTGACAGTGGTTATTACAAGGTCAAGCGCTTTATCAGCATTTTGTAATAACTGGAAGTGATATTTATAAAAGACTCTGTAAAAATCCCCATTATTACCATGCTTTTCATACTTCAAAAGGTAAAAGCATATCTGGCATTGTTTAATTAGAATCTAGCCATGAGTAAATAATCAAATTCAGGTTATGAGACATATATAAGACAACTGGCCTGGTCTCCTTAAAAATGTCAATGTCATAAAAGACCAAAGTAAAGGTAGGAGACGAGTACAAATTAAAGGAGACAAGTCATGACAACCAAATGGGGGATCCCGGACTGGATCATGGATAAAAAGGAGACAAGAGGAAAAAATTTGAATATGTAATACATATTAGATAATCATATGTCATTAATGTTACTGCAACTTATGGCTATCAAATGATTTATCAGAAAAGAAGGTACATATATACTTTCTAAAGCAAATGTCACAAAATTTAATTTTCTTAATTGTTGAGCCTCGATGAAGGGAATGACTATTCATTTTACTATTCTTCTAATTTTTTATTGCTTTGAAAACTTTCAAAATTTTCAGGCCAAGAACAATTGTTATTAAAAATCCAAACTTGTAAATTTCTAGATTTTTGCAACAACTAATAATAAGTAGTTTTAAATGCCACTTAAATAAGACATTTGCAAAACAGAAAGCATTTTACAAAATTTTAAAAACAAAAAAGGACCATTTAAGCACCAAACAAAACAAAGGAAGATCTTTATTATAACACAACCTTCAAACCAGGTTTTGAAACAGGAGGGTAGAGGGCACAACCTTTAGAAGAATGGCACAGCCTAGGATATACAGAACATAAACTGGTTAGAATCAACTAGGTCTCCTGAGAAAACAACGTGCGGGTCGTGCGGGTCAAGAAGCACCAGTCAGAACCGGACATGGAGAGTGTTTGCCTGTGGTCTCCTCTGGGAGTTTTATAGTCTCTGGTCTTACATTTAGATCTGTAATCCATTTTGAGTTTATTTTTGTGTGTGGTGTTAGAAAGTGTTCTAGTTTCATTCTTTTACAGGTGGTTGACCAGTTTTCCCAGCACCACTTGTTAAAGAGGTTGTCTTTCTTCCATTGTATATCCTCGCCTCCTTTGTCGAAGATAAGGTGACCATAGGTTCGTGGATTTATCTCTGGGCTTTCTATTCTGTTCCACTGATCTATATTTCTGTCTCTGTGCCAATACCATACTGTCTTAATGACTGTGGCTTTGTAGTATAGTCTGAAGTCAGGCAGGTTGATTCTTCCAGTTCCATTCTTCTTTCTCAAGGTTACTTTGGCTATTCGAGGTTTTTTGTATTTCCATACAAATTGTGAAATTATTTGTTCTAGTTCTGTGAAAAATACCGTTGGTAGTTTGATAGGGATTGCACTGAATCTATAGATTGCTTTGGGTAGTATAGCCATTTTGACAATATTGATTCTTCCAATCCATGAACACGGTATATTTCTCCATCTGTTTGTGACCTCTTTGATTTCTTTCATCAGTGTTTTATAGTTTTCTATGTATAGGTCTTTTGTTTCTTTAGGTAGATATACTCCTAAGTCTTTTATTCTTTTTGTTGCAATGGTGAATGGTATCGTTTCCTTAATTTCTCTTTCTGTTTTCTCATTGTTAGTGTACAGGAATGCAAGAGATTTCTGTGTGTTAGGCAAAACACTCTCCGACATAAATCGCAGCAGGATCCTCTATGACCCACATCCCAGAATATTAGAAACAAAAGCAAAAATAAACAAATGGGACCTAATGAAACTTAAAAGCTTTTGCACAACAAAGGAAACTATAAGCAAGGTGAAAAGACAGCTCTCAGATTGGGAGAAAATAATAACAAACGAAGCAACAGACAAAGGATTAATCTCAAAAATATACAAGCAACTCCTCCAGCTCAACTCCAGAAAAAGAAATGACCCAATCAAAAAATGGGCCAAAGAACTCAACAGACATTTCTCCAAGGAAGACATACAGATGGCAAAAAAACACATGAAAAGATGCTGAACATCACTCATTATCAGAGAAATGCAAATCAAAACCACAATGAGGTACCATTACACGCCAGTCAGGATGGCTGCTATCCAAAAGTCTACAAGCAATAAATGCTGGAGAGGGTGTGGAGAAAAGGGAACCCTCTTACACTGTTGGTGGGAATGCAAATTAGTACAGCCACTATGGAAAACAGTGTGGAGATTTCTTAAAAAGCTAGAAATAGAACTGCCATATGACCCAGCAATACCACTTCTGGGCATACACACCGAGGAAACCAGATCTGAAAGAGACACATGCACCCCAATGTTCATCGCAGCACTGTTTATAATAGCCAGGACATGGAAGCAACCTAGATGCCCATCAGCAGACGAATGGATGAGGAAGCTGTGGTACATATACACCATGGAATATTACTCAGCCATTAAAAAGAATTCATTTGAATCAGTTCTAATGAGATGGATGAAACTGGAGCCCATTATACAGAGCGAAGTAAGCCAGAAAGATAAAGACCATTACAGTATACTAACACATATATATGGAATTTAGAAAGATGGTAACGATAACCCTATATGCAAAACAGAAAAAGAGACTCAGATGTATAGAACAGACTTGTGGACTCTGTGGGAGAAGGCGAGGGTGGGATGTTTCAAGAGAACAGCATCGAAACATGTACATTATCTAGGGTGAAACAGATCACCAGCCCAGGTTGGATGCATGAGACAAGTGCTCGGGGCTGGTGCACTGGGAAGACCCAGAGGGATCGGGTGGAGAGGGAGGTGGGAGGGGGGACTGGGATGGGGAATACATGTAAATCCATGGCTAATTCATTTCAATGTATGACAAAAACCACTGCAATGTTGTAAAGTAATTAGCCTCCAACTAATAAAAATAAATGGAAAAAAAAAAAAAAGAACCGGACATGGAATGACTGGTTCCAAATTGGGAAATGAGCATGACAAGACCATATATTGTCATCCTGTGTATTTAACTTACATAACACAGAGTACACCATGTGAACTGCCAGGCTGGATGAATCAGAAACTGGAATAAAAACTGCAGGGAGAAATACTAACAACCTCAGATATGCAGATGATACCACTCGAATGGCAGAAGGCGAAGAGGAACTAAAGAGTTTATTGATGAGGGCAAAAGAGGAGAGTGTAAAACTTGAAACTCAACATTAAAAATACTAAGATTAGGCATCCAGTCCTATCATTTCATGGCAAATAGAAGGGGATAGAGTAGAAGTAGTGACAGATTTTATTTTCTTGGGTCCGAAAGTCACTGCAGATAGTGACTGCAGCCATGAAATTAATAGACACTTGCTCCCTGGAAAGAAAGCTATGACAAATCTAGACAGCATATTAAAGAGCAGAGACACCACTTTGCCAACAAAGATCTGTATAGTCAAAGCTATGTTTTCCCAGTAGTCATATAAGGATGTGAGCTGGTCCATAAAGAAGGCTGAGCATACAAGAATTGATGCTTTCTGGCTGTGATGCTTGAGAAGACTCTTGAGAGTCCCTTGGATAGCAAGGAGATCAAACCAGTCAATCCTAAATGAAATCAACTGTGAATATTTATTGGAAGGGTTGTGGCTGAAGCTCTAATACTTTGGCCACCTGATGCAAAAAGCTGACTCACTGGAGAAGACCCTGATTCTGGGAAAGAATGAAGGCAAAAGGAGAAGAGGGCAGCAGAGGATGAGATGGTTAGATAGTATCACTGACTCAATGGACATGAATCTGAGCCAACTCCAGGAGACAGTGGAGAACAGAGGAGTCTGGAGAGCTATAGTTCATGGGGTCACAGACTTGGACATGATTCAGTCTGTCTGTCACTGAATTCCTTCTGTGACACAACATTAAGAATCCAAGCTTCATTAAGTCCTGAGCTCAGGTGTTGATCTCAATTAAAACAAAGGTGGGTTCAAGTCTCATC